GCGACACGACACCGTGGGCTAAAAAAGCGTACCATGATTTTGTTTCCACTTTTTTTTTGTTTTTTTCTTTTGGGGTATTATCAATTTGTCATGTGGCAAGTTGCAAGCAGCATTAATAAAGGCATTGAGCTGAGCCACATAATCAAATGTGTATTGCAGCCAACAAGTTAAGGAAATGTGAAGAGTGTAAGACTATTGCTAATAAAATGTTGCCAATAAAATGTTGAGCAGATTACAGACTTTTGCTAGTCGGATTACGATATACAAATATGGGAAATCTTTTGCATAAACCTTTCTAAATGCAAAGTTCAAGGGTAAAAATATCTCGACTTGGAAAGTAAATCGCGCAATTGATTTACGTTATTAAAATCGCTGTGAAATATTTAGGGTATTTGCGATTCGTTGAACTAGAAAAAGTTGGCTATTTTGCTGTTGTGTTTGGATTTTGGTTTTCGGAGTTCGAGTTCGAGTCATGAATCTTATGACGCCTACGTGTGCTTTTGGCATTTGGCATGTCAAATACAATAAGTACGACTGCGACTGCGACGGAGACGGCGACAACGACTGCGACTGCGACGGCGACAACGACTGCGACGACGACTGCGACTGAGACGGCCTGATGGCGACGTGTACACGTAAAGTACTTGGCCCGAGCCGCGAGACCCGAAACACCCCGAACACCAAAGATGGAGATACTACGAGCCCAAGACAAACAAGCCAGCAAATAGCTATGAGAAGCCAGTGCAGGGCCAGGCCAGGCCAGCAAGGGAGACACGGGCAGCAGACAGAGTTCCGCGTTGGTTGCCGTTTTTTTTTATTTTTCTCTCTTTTTTTTGACAGCTTTGTTGTTGAGGTTCAGAGCTTGTAGCTTGTGTCTGGGGGCTTGGGAAACATTCCTGAATGTCATCACACACACAATCACACAACTGCTGCTGCTGCTGCAAAAAAAAAAAACTAATTCGGGCCATTTAGGGCAAGCAAGTTCAAAGCTTAAGCATTGAAGTGGCTGTAGAAAATGTTGGACCATTGAGGTGGGAAATTATTATAGTATTACATTTTGATTAAGTACACAAGTAGACAAGAATTCACATGATAGATAAGTGTGACTAATGGCCAAAAACGCGCAACAACAAAAAATGAACGAAATAATGGGCAAAGAGCACAATTCAAGGCGCAAACAGTTGTTGCTAAAGAGCTGACTATTGCTCGAAATTAAAGAGATTTAATAAGTTTCAACGAATTATTATTAAAATTGAAGCAAGCTCGAAAGTAAATATTAAATATTCTTAATGATTTTACAGTTTACATATATATATTTGTGTATATAGATTTTACTTGAAAATGCCAATATTATTTGCCTAATACAAATTTATTTATAATTAGATTCGAATTTATTTCAATAGACAATTATTATAAATGATAGATAAATGTCACCTTTAGGCAAACGGGCAACTTGCTGTCTCAATGCATATTTCAAGGCAGAAGACACAAAACTGAATCGCTGGCAATTTAGCAAACAAATTCCAAAACCTACAAAACCTGTGATAGACAGACAGAGAGAGAGAGAGAGAGAGACAGAGAAAGGTAGAAAGAACTTATTGGCTTGCAGCTGCAGATGCTGCTGCGATCACGCATCAAAATTATTATTGTGCCTTAATATAGCCATGAATCAATGCATTTAAAATGCAAAAAAAAAAAAAAGAGAAAGAAAATACATATAAAAAAGGTTGCATCCTGCTGGCATAGACCTGAGCTGAGCAGAGCTGTGCTGTGTGTGTGTGTGTGTGTGTGTGCCGAGCTGCTGATGGTCAACTTTAGTTATAACTTCATCTGCATTTGGAACACGAACGTGGCGATAATAAACCGTCGCATTGAGCCACCCATGCGTGGTCTCCGTCGCAGTTGCAGTCTCCTCGTTCAGCCACTCGAGACTCAAGATCATTTCAACTTATGGTTATATCTAGTTGTGTACTAGCCTGTGTGTGTGTGTGTGTGTTTGTGTGTTTGTGTGTGCTGCCTTTCAGTGCATGCCAATCTGTGACCAAAGTCTGAGCAATATCAATAACACTTGCCAGCCGCTCTTTGGGCCCAAATGCAACATGATGCGACAAGCGCAGACCCCAGATACGAGACTCGAGACTGGAGACTCGAGACCCGAGACCCAGACCGAGACTGAGACCCAAGCTTAGGTCCAGGCTCTAAGCTCGGCCAATGTCACTGAACCAGTTCTCAATGTCTTTATGCACACACACACACATTTATCTATATATATATGTTATATATGTAATATATATCTATTGGGATTGTTCAGCAACCTCTGCACTAAATATTTACAGCCTCCGCAATATCTCAAAAGCAGCAGACAGACAACGACAAAGTTTCATCTAACGTGCGCCCGATCAGGGACTTTGGCGAACAAGTTCAACTGCCACAACAGCCACAAAAGGTGTCTTTTGCGAGCAGCCACAAAAAGAGCAACAAGTTGAAAAAGAAGAAGACAAAGACGAAGACGAAGCAGAAACTGGCCAAGTGTCGTTGTGGCCATAAATTCAATTGAATATTACGCCAATTGGCTTTTTGTCTATCGCAAAAATGGGGCGGAGTTGTTGGCGCTCTCTCGCCACAAAAAAAAAAAAAGAAAAAAAGCCGAGGCGATTTGAGGAAATTGCATTACAGTTTGCCAATTGGTTGTGTGTGTGGTGTGTGTGTGGTGTGTGTGTGTGTGTGTGATAGGTAACTGGTTCGAGCATGGTTGGGGTGTGTGCTTTGATACCCTGTCCACATTCAAAATGATCAAAATAAATTTGTATCATAAAAATGTGCTTCGCTTGCAGTACGCAAAATGGAAGCATATTCGGCATAATAAATTATATATATATATATATATATGTTCTCGATCAGTCGGCCAACTCAGTCGATATAGCAAGAATGTAGAATGTAGTTGTGTCTTTAGCTTGATAAATTAAATCGATAAATATCGATTAGTTGAATTAGAGAGACCAAAGATCCCTCTTCACACCGATCTCTCAGCGAACTATATTTGAGCACTTGTCTAAAGGGTATCTGCAAGTCGTAAACTCCCGACTAGAGCACTGTTTACTTGTCTCGAACTGTTTTGGCCAAGCTAAGCAGATTGGCAGATGGCACGGTGGTGGTAAGCGGCTTTGGGCCAGCTAATTAGGCGACTTTTGACGCATCATCAAAAGGAGGAGGCAGCAGGCAATGGGCAACGGGAAGCGGGCAACGAGCAGCGTGCAACGGGCAACGTGCAACGTGCAACGTGTAAACAGCCAGGCACAGTCGAATGTGGCCGTGTTAGCGGCTAATATGCATCAAAATGTGTCAACACCTAAAGCCAACTTCATGTTAATTGTTAGCGCTATCTTTTTTCTGTTTTTTTTTTGCAAGCTGCAGTTGCAGCTAGGAGGCTGGCCAGCCAGCCAGCCAGCCAGCAGGCAGAGTCAAAGCCAGCTCTGGTTTTTGTTGTAGCCGTGTTTTCACCTCCATTAACGCGTGTAGCAGGATCTGGGGACTGGCTCTGGCTCTGGCTCTGACTCTGTGGCTTTAATGACGCCTGACGTTGACCGATCGTCGACCGCAAGCGGCTGACCGATCAAAAGTCGTTCAACTTGCCGGAACTGGTCGTAAAAGATCACATGGGCCACAACGACAACAACGACAACAACGACAACAAGAAGAAGAACAACGAGGCTAGCTATGTGGAGCAGAAGCAGAAGCAGAACCAAGCGGAGCAAACAGCCTGCCACAAGTCAGGCCAGGCTAGGCCAGTTAGTTAGATGCCGCAGCACTTGGCCGCATTCGTTGCTTTATTACCAACACTCGCAATTCGCAATTCGCATTCGCTCGCGTGGCACAAACACATAATATTAATGGCCGCCAATGGAGTTCAAATCGCCGCTGCCTGCCTGGCCATATTGCCAACAAGTTCAAAATGCAGACACATAGTTAATCTTGCGTCGGCTGACAGCAGGCTTGAATGCAAAGAACTGTAATGCATGACTCTCTCGCCAAGTGCCAAGTGGCATTTGGGTAAATGAACTTTGACAGTAATGGAGGCCAGAGGATAGATGGATGGCCACATAACCATATCTAGAAGCAGCTGCATGCGATCCAATGCGATCCAATACGATACGAGTTAAGACTTTTTCAAGTTGATTTACTTAACGTTTTTTTTACGCAAAGGGGTTGGGTTTTATTCATTTGGCTTTTGCTTTTCGTCACGCGAAACTATCTTATCTTCTTGAATGTACTTCAGTGCTTATATTAGTATATTGTCCGACTTATCGCTGTGGTTTTGCAGTGATAAGTTCACTTTTGAAATACTATCCACTTGAGTTGTTCTTGCTCTTGTTCTTGTTCTTGTTGTCCAGTGTAATCGAGTAGGCTCAAAATATGAGAAACTATAATCGCCTGACTTTAAGGTTCCACATATCAATCAGCAATTATTCAAACTATAAATTCAGTTATTCTATATATTTTGAAATGTTAACCATAAATTCATAATTCATTTCGAAACTGGAAAATATAGTTTTTTTTTTCCAATAAGTTTTTTTTTTTTTTTTTTAATCGTCATTTTTGAGTTGTCAGTCACTGTTTTCTTCGAGTGTAGCGATTGTCTTGCAATTTTGTTAGCTTAAAGATTTAAAGATCAACTGATTGGTTATACACTTTGACGACATGGTAATTGGTTCTGCTCCGGTTTCTTGTGCCAGCTATCTTAATCGAGCGTGGGCTTGTATCTAGATAACATAACAGTGTTCAGCTTAGTTCAGCTCAGTTCAGTTCAGTTCAGTTCAGTTCAGTTCCGTTCCGTTCAGCAACAAGTCTGTGCACCATAAACATTAATTAGGAGTTGAGGGCGGGGCGGGGGCATGGTCGGTTTTGAGGCAATTTAGAGCAATTTGCATGTGGCACAGAAATCGAAGCTTAATCAACTGAAAGCATTTTGCTGGCTGATTCAAAATTATGTTGGTCCTTACCTGAACGTATTCGGCGCATATATCAATTCCACCCACAAAGTTGCAGACATCGTCCACCGACCAGGAGTTAACCTCTTCGCTTTGCGCCTGACACTGACGCACTGTGCCCGCTGGCGATGTTGCTGCTGTTGCTGCTGATGTTGTTGCTGATGTTGCAGTTGCTGATGTTGCTGTTGCTGCTGTTGCGTTGGCGTTGTTTTGGCCCTCGAGTGTTTCCAGTGTTGGCTTCTGCTCTGAAAGTGGCGGGGATGGTGTGCTAGTTGTTGTTGTTTGTGTTGTTCCTGCTGCTGCTGCTGCTGCTGCTATTGTTGTTGTTGTTGTTGAGTTGGCACGACGTGCCGCCAGCAAGTCCAATGTTGCCGTTGCTGCTGCTGCTGTTGTTGTAGATGATTCAGCCTTAAAACGTTTGGCGGCTGGTGGCTGTGAGCTCAAGTCGAGCGGCGCCGCCGAAGCCGCAGTTGTCGCATTGGGCGCCGCAGCACCACCAGCAGCAGCCTCCGCATTGCAACGTGGACTAGACTGACGCGAGGCGTGATGCGATTGTTGTTGCTGCTGCTGCTGTTGCAGTTGCGCCGAGTAGATTAAAGCGGGTGTAACAAATTGCGCCGCCTGCTGCAGTGCGGCATTTAAACTGGGACGCGGCGTGCTCGATGCGCTCGCATTCGGCGATGAGGCAGTCGAGCTACTACCTTTGAGATGGAACTGTTGTCGCTGCTGCTGCAGCTGCTTGCCTCGCAATATCTGCTGAATCTCAGCATCTTTTGCAGCACGCGCCTGAGAAAAACACAGAGTGAGAGAGAGAGAGAGAGGGGCAGAGTGCGAAACAGATTAGCATTTTGGGTGGTCAGCAGACAGACACTGTTTGCATTTACTTTCAAGCAATCCAGCTCTATTTTCAATTTATATACATAAATATTGTTTAAAGAAAATCGACCAATTGTTTATGATTTGCTATCTCTATATTCATATGGCTTCTGATCAGTTGTTAGCCCAGTTAGCTGCACTTACCAGCGTTAGCAGGGCCTGTGTGCTGCTCATGTCCATCATTGGGAAAATGCCACCCGAGAAGGGCAAAAAGTTGCTCATAAACGGCGAAACACTGGCGGCGGCCACAACAGCGGCCATTTGGCTCTTGGCCTGTTCCGTGGGTGATTGCGCTGCAGCTGGTGGCAGACTATTGCCTGCCACCGTTGACGTGATACCACCGGCCACGCCCACACCCACACCGACACCAACATTGCCGCCCGTCAACGCAGACTCCTTGACGTCTCGCAGGCTGATCGCCGTCGCCGACGATGAATGCTTTTTGCTTGTGCCGCTGGCATTGTTTGAGCTGCTGCCGCTGCTGCTGCTGCTGCACTTGGCAATGCTTGACTTGATGTCGCTGCGCTCCGTGCCACCGACTGTTGTTGCCGCGCCGACAGAGACACCGACGCCGCAGCCAGCGTTGCTGCTGCCGCTGCTGTCATAGTAGGAATTGCGACGCGTTGCATGATGACTGCAAAAAGGAATAAAAAAAAAAACATAATGGAAAATTCGTCGAGTTTAGAATTTAATCTTTTGGGGCGTATTCTAATCTTGTCTTGAAATGTGTGACTCATTGAAGAAGTCTTCTCCAAAAGAAGAAGACTTCTCCAAAAGAAGAAGACTTCTCCAAAAGAAGAAGACTTCTCCAAAAGAAGAAGACTTCTCCAAAAGAAGAAGACTTCTCTAAAAGAAGAAGACTGCTCCAAAGTGGAAACTCTCAAGAGCCACACCTGAAGACCGATTTCATTAGCCAAATTAGTAATGATGAAAAAGACATTTAAATTTCAGCAGCTTAGCTTCGATCTGCAAGTCAAGTTTATCTTTGGCTGGTTTAAGATAAGTCTTCTATATATTGTTATTGTTTATAACTATAGTCAGAACTGCAGATCAAAATATTCTTTGTTAGTTTCGAAAGAACATTCCAAGTTAAAAAGCTATCTATTTTTTAAAATCATTGCTTAATCATATTCTAATTATCAGTTTAAAGATATTTTCAATTCGATTAGTTTAGCTGTAGATTTAATGTTAATTTATAGGTAAATTTAAGCTAAAAGTGGTCCATTCTACATAAATTAGAAAAGCGTTTAAAAGATATATAATAACTACTTCCTAGATTGAATCGATACAAAAAGCTCAATTAAAATTGATGGAAACTAACTGCGCTGCTAAGCATGCAACTAACTCATTTGCATAGCTAATCTTAAACGGTTTGGCTGCCACTTACTCATTGGGATTGGTATTGTTGTATTTGGCTGCGAGGCAGCGCATAATATCCGAATAGTTGCGCGTTGAGAAATCTGTGGCATTTGCTGTTGCGGCACTTGTGCTTGCCGCACCAACTGGGCTGGTGACAGCGCTGCCAACGCCACTGGCAACATTGTTGGCCACACTGCTGCCGCCGCCGCCGCCACCACCGCTGCTGCTGTTGCTGTTGCCACCGATAGCATTGCGCTGACTGCTGTTGGCTGCAGCCGCCTGTTGAATGCTGTTCAACAGATTGGCGGACAAATTGTGCAGGGGCATTTGGGAGTGCGTTTGGTTGCTGGGCGGGCTCAAACGTTGTTGTTGTTGCTGCTGGTGTTGGTGAGGCGACTGTTGTTGTTGCTGTTGTTGATTGGGTGAGATGCCACCGCCGCTGCCACTGCGATATGTTGCAGATGAGGGCGTGGCGCTGCGAGATCTGCAAACAGAGAGAGAGAGAGAGAACAATTTAGATCGATAAGTTCAAGGTGAAGTTTGTGGCTGAGATCATGTTTGTGATGTATGCAAAATAAAAAAAACTAATAACTTGCCATAAATTGGCATTAAATATTTAATTAGTTGTCGCGCTTGAATGAAAAGCCAGGCGTTCGCATTCAATTGGATTATTTGTCACATTTGCCACTCCGAGAATTAATATCTAAAGACTGTCGTCCCATTTGACATGCTAATGAGCAGCTTCCGTGAGAAGTGAGTTCGAAGCGAGTTCGAAGTGAGAGCGCTCTGTGAGAGATCAGTAAACCGATCTGATCCGTGTTGACGTCTGATATTTTTAGTCATTTATTTTGTTATTGCCAAAGCCGGCTTTTAATGCGATTACGATTCACGTTGACCGTTGAGTTATAGCCAAACAAAGTTGACATGGGAAACGCCATCAGCCAACGAAGCAGGAAAGAAGCACAAACTACACACCGGCACCGGGAAGTGCCTCAAAGCAGAGACAGCTCGATGGGAAGAGATCACGGTGCGATAGATCGTAAGCAATGTGGACTTGTGCAGAGGTTAACTTCAACTCAAATACACTTTACTCAATTCAAACTGTAATTGAAAGCCGCAAATTAAGAGTGAAGAATAAGATTTGCTTCCAGCGTTGCCACACTGTCCGCAAAGCTGTCAAACTCATCATCGATAGTTCCAACTGTCAGCTACACTATCGAGCAATATGGTTATTAAATGGGTGTTCTCAACACTGGGCGAAACTTTTAAGGAACTGTGTGGAAAATTATGATAATACAAAATAAAAGCATAATTTGTTGGATCATATCTTGGCTGTTTCTTATCAAAACTTAATCAGTAATCTATCAAGGTGAAGGTATGTTATATATATATATATATATATATTTGGGCTATAAACTTGAAACAGACGCACGAGGCTATTAAATAAAATTAATTTGACTGGCATACGAAATATTTAAAATTTCAAGTCTCTTGCAGTTATAGTCTCTGAGATGGACTCGTCTGTTGAAGTTGATCAAGAATATATATGTTATATGCGATCGCAGCTGCTTCCTTCTGCCTATTACACACTTTTACACAACTTAATTATACAATTTGTAACTATTTTTAATGGGTTCAGTTAATGAATACTAAAAAAATAATTTCCGCTTGTGTCACAGAAATCTATTAATATATTTTGCCAACAAATCACTCACAAAACTGTTTACAAATCGAATACTTTGCATCAGTATAAACACTGAATTTGAGATTTGATTGTCATAAAAATAAGCCATATCTTAACTGCAGACAATGTTCATTTATCTAAAGCAACTGATATATTTAAATATATATTTGTTGTTTGTTTGTTGGACTCTTGCAACTTGCGCAGGTGTTTGGGGGGTGGGGGCAAATGTGTAGCATTTGCAACAAGCTTCTAACGTGGCCATAACTCAAACATGCCACCAACATGGCCCCATGCCTAAAGTCACAGCTAGCCCCAGACTCAGACCCAGGCAGGCCCAGGCCCAGGCCCAGCGCTAGCCCCCCAAATCGCAGTCGCCAGTCTTCGCCAATCCGACCACGAGCCATGGCTAATAATCAGCAATGGGTCAGCTACACTACCACATCCCCAACTCCTGCCCCTCCACCCCCCAACCACCCTCGAAGGCTGCCGCTATGTTTGGCAGCTGCAAGTGCTTGGCATGCAAGTGAACCAGGTTCTGTGCATGGTTTGCTGGAGCAGGGGGCAGCGAGTGGTGGCAAATGGGGCAATGGCATTGGTTGCTTGCCTCTCAACTCGTGCTGCACGTCGTCGCTCATTTCGTGTTGGCTGCTGCTGCTGTTGCTGCTGCTGTTGTTGCTGTTGTTGCTGTTGTTGCTGTTGCTGATGCTGCCTGCACAAATGTATATATAAAGCAGCCAGGCAGTTGTTGTTGTTGTTGTCGCTGCTGGCTTTTTACAGCCATTGATTTATCGTGATCTGTTTGGCTGTCGATTTTATGTTGCTGCTGCTGCTGCTGCTGCTGCACCACAACAAACAACTGCAACATTTGTATACTCAGACTATAAAGAGTATTTAAATTTTGTTACAACGTATGTCCGTACTACGAAAAAACAATAGAGATAACTTTATAGCCATTGGCACTACTGAGTAGAACTAAAAACCATCTTTTTTTCTTGCTGCTTTATATTTTATCTGTAGTTTAACCTTCAACCGATTTCTGCCTAATTCAACTCGTCAGCGAACTAAAAATATTGCTGTTCTTTTTCTTTTTTTGGGACTTATCTGTCAGCCATCTTTTATTAATGTTATTGTTTTTTGAATCGTGTGATATGATTCATATCAAGGGCATTTCAGCTTCGGTAAGATAGTCTTACCTATTTTTGGTATTTTACTACAATGTATATTAGCTGTTGTCTGGCGTTTTGTGTCGTTTTCCTTTTGTTTTTCTGTATACCCTTGCCGAGGCTATTATAATTTTGTCATCAAGTTTAGACATTTTTGTACTCAGCTTTGAAGCTAACTTTTTGAAACTTGGTTTATAACTGGGACCGAACCAATATGTTATATAGCTGCCATAGAAACAATCAGTGGAAAGATTTGGTGCTGTACTAAAAGAATTAGTTTTTACTCAGAAAATATGTTGGTTTTTAAGTTGCGCCTAATTCAAAAAATACAAAATAATCAAGTCATAGGAACAATCGGTCGAAAGATGAATTTAAAGTTGTGGGAAATATTTATAAATTATTGCTTCTGATATAATAGAACAATACAAATGATTTACATTCAGTTGAAAGCCAAAAGAGAACAATATTGGCTTAAATCGAGTGTGAAAAAGAACCAAATTTAACTAATTCAAACTAATTTAGATGTTAGCAAGGGTATATCATATTCGGCTGGCCTATAATAATCATTCTTTGTGTTTTTTTTTTATTGTTGATATTTTTTGTTTGTTAAAAATGTTGATTATTGCAAATTGCTTTGGCGATTGGCAGCAGCTACTTGGTTGTTGTTGTTGTTGTTGTAGTCTGGTTTTCCTTGTTCTTAGCAATTGTTAAAATTGTTAATGGCGCGATTATGTTGCCAGATCTGCAAATTCCCTGCCCTGCCCAATCATACATAGCCCGGCTACTGTCGCGATCTATTGCAATCGCCTTCTGCTCAGGTGTGTCTGTGTGTGTGTGTGTGTGTGTGAGTGTTTCTAAATATTCTGATCTATGGCATGCCTAATTGGCTTTGGGGCTGGGTCAGTGGCGACTCCATCGATTGGACAGACACACATATGCTAATGGTGTCTATTGTTACGCCTACGCCTGCTGAAATATATAATTTTAAAGCCAAAAACTAGAGAACAAAACCAAAACAAAACCGCGAAAAGTCATAAAATAAAAGCCTATGAATTTGCATATCTTGACAATCAAAAAATTTGTATCAATGAATGACGCACAAATTGGCGATACGACAAAATAAAAAAAAAATATATTAAAAAAAAAACCCCAAACACAATGGGAATAAAAAAAAACATTTGGTTGTATCTAAATAGCTAAAAACAGCAATAAGAAAAACAACATAAAAATATATTCACACAAAAAGAGTTTGTCAAAAAGTTGAATAGCATTTTGATGATTTTTTTTTTTTTTTTTTTTTTGCTGCGTGTTTGAAATAATGTAATAAACTTGTATTAAAAGACGTAACGCATAAATTTTGAAAGCATTAAAATCAAATATGTATTAATGAGACAGATTTAAGAGCCAACTTGAACTTGACAGCAACTACTTACACACACACACACAAACAACATAGTTGCTTGGAATTATCATTATCAAAATTTGAACCAAGATCTGAAGAGCCTCTCCTTAACTTGACTAGCAACAACTAGGCGTCGTTTATATTTAGACACTTAAGGTTAAGAGTTAACTCGAGTGCGCCTTGAAATTGAGCTGTTCTTGAGCTGCTTATACGCAAATCAGCTTTGTATTTCACTCGTTATTCACAACTGCCTCAGTTTATCATACAATGATTAGAAAAGCATATTTCCCTTTTTTTTATTATTTAAAATTGTCATATAATCTGGTTATATATGGTTGCAACTCTTAATTTGAAGTCATGTAATCAGGTATTTATCAATTAACCACACAAGATAAGAAAACATCCATAAACAACTCGTCGGCTCAAAATCGTGGACAGCTCGTTAAAAAGCCATATACCACGGAGTTAATCAGGCCCAGTATTCGTGATGTTTAAGTCATTAGTTTCGAAAGCTGAACACAGAATTCGTTTTGTCTCGTTTTAAATTAAATATGTATTTATAAATTTATTAAATGGTATTTATTTATCTAACTGATAACTTTTCCCACATAATTAATAATATAACAAGAAAATAAATAAACAAAAAACCAGCAGGTGTTTTGTCTTTCGCTTTGGGTGCCTCATTAGCAACTCAATTAAATCCAGCATTTTGAGTTGGCCAACGTCAGAATAAAAGACCACCCTATAAGAGCGAATTAAGAAGATGCAAAAGATACAAACCTTAACATAAACCGTCATAACAAGCATAACAACGCGACCAAGATTTAGGCACACACCTCAGGTGGCGATAGATTTGGACAGCGTGTCTCATTAATATTAATAAGCCGATAAGCCAGGCCACAACAAGCGACTAGGCCACAAATGTAAATGGCTTTTAGCCGAGTATCTATATCTGTAAATATATATGTATCTGTATCTATATCTCAATCTGTGAATGTAATCTGTATCTGTCGCTCCATTTGTAGGGATGGGCTTAGCCATGGTTGCCAGTCGTTCTTTAAATTGCTTATTAAGATCTGAAGATGAATTTAATTTGAACTCTGATAATTTGTCGATATTAGTAAATTTAAATGTTAATGGTAATCTATGCCTCGACTTTAACGCCATTAATAAAGTTGTGCCTGTTTTAGACATATATTTTTTTGTTCATTTTATTGGCTTTTGTTTATGTTGAATGGTTTTTTGTTTTTGTTATTTTTTTGTTGTTGTTTGGCCGCAGGCGTTGAGTTTATTAATTTGTTTTATATTTAAATTTCGACTTTTCTGCGTTTTCCTTTGGCCTATTCGCCTTTTGTTGTTGTGGTTGTTGTATCTTTTTGACAGCAGAAGCGTGCGCCTTGTGTTTAAGCGTTTTGATTAATTTGCTGTCTTTTGGGCCATTACAAACAGTAGCCAAAAAATACAAAAAACAAAAAAAAAAACCGATGTCGATTTCGATATGATATGATTTTTGTTTTTTTTTTTTTTCATTTCGTAGCATTAATTTGTTAAAATGTTAATTAATTTGTCAGGCGAGGCGACAGCTCAACAAATAATTCAATGAGCAAATGAGTTTCACAGCGGCTAATCGCTTAGCGGAATGGTTTTTGGGGCAGGGCATAGTGAAATTTAACACTTTGACAAAATTGACATGTCTTTGATAATTCTAGAAAATTTCAAATAACAACACTAAAAAATGTATCTCAATAAAACGAAAAGACAAAATTATGAAACAAGTGGGTCACATAAATTCGAGAATCGTTTTTTATATTTCGTGACCAGGATTCAGGCAAGACTTTTGAGCAGCTGCGTCGCGAATACTTTCACAAAATGTCCTGTAACAGGTGGCAAATCTAAGTAAATCCACGCCCAAAAGGTCAGGCAACTAGCTCAATGGAAAGGTAATCGAATAAGTCTAATAAATCACAATAAATCACAGTATTAAAAGCGGAAGCATTAGCAACTCAAAAGCAGTAAAAGAGCTTAATATTTAAATGCACTCAAAAAATTATTGTAGCCTTTGAATTTGAGTTGCATTTCAAGAAATAAATTGAGTACTGCTTTTTGGGGATTAAGACTCAAATTATAATTATAATTTGTAAGCTTGGAGCGAAAATCGTGTTTTCTACTTTGAGTGAAGTATTTTTTTTTTAGAGGTCACAACATGATTAAAAAGATATTGCTTGTGAAAAGTTGTGGCATTAGAGTTACATATGATGGAATATTCTTGAGACTTGTAACAGAATTAGAATTCGGCACAGTGTAAGGTCAAACGAATGAAGAACAATCCATAAGCCAAAGAAAGTAAGGATTTTGAGCAGGCGCTTACCTTTCACTCCACCAAATCCCAGCTAAAGCTTAACGCAAAGTAAAACGATTAATATTGTTGCCAGATGTGTAAACTCACCTGGCAAATGCCGCTGAGACGGACAGCTCGCCGTTGTTGTTGTTGTTGCTGTTATTGTTGTTGTTGTTGCTGCTGTTGTTACTGTTGTTGCTGGCGGGACTAAGACGCTCCCGTTTCACGCTGCTGCTGCTGATGCTGAGCAACTGTTGCTGCTGATGATGATGATGATGATGATTGCTATTGCTACTGTGATTGCTGTTGTTATTATTGCTGCTATTGCTGTTGTTATTGTTGTTATTGCTGAGCATTGCATTGTTGTTGTTGTTGTTGTGCATATTGGCCATGGCCGTTGACTCCAAGAGCGCATCCTTGAGCGAATCAATCTGTGCGCCCGTCATATGCAACGGCGACAACTTCTCATGCTTCACCTTCTCCAAATACAATGCAGCATAGGCGGCGGCAGCAGCACTTGTTGCCGCCGCTGCCGCTGTTGCAGCTGCAGCTGCTGCTGTCGTTGGTACTGACGAATAGGGTGAGGCGGATGGGGAGACGGAGGCGTTGGTGGCTGCTGTTGCTGGCGTTGCTGCTGCTGCTGCTGCTGCTGCTGTGGCAGTTGTTGTTGCTGCTGTTGGGCTGCTTGCCTCGCACAGCTTCTTGGCGCTATCGATGACCCCGTAGCCGCTTAGCAGCAGCGAACGCTCGCTGAGCATTTTTGCAGTATTGTTGCCGGCGTTGAGCAACTGTTGCTGCTGCTGCTGCTGCTGCTGCTGGTGCTGTCGCAAATCGCTGGCGAGGCGCTCGAGATGTTTGCGCTTGGTGGCCGCCGCCGCGGGCAATGAATTAAATAGTTGCGCCTGCTCCTCGTTGTGGTGTTTAGTTGGTGTTGCCGTTGTCGCCTTCGCTGGCTTCTGTTGCAGTATGTCGGTGGGCGTGTTACCTGCAAATGCAACAGACCAAGAGCGTACATAAGACAGAGAGAGAGAGAGAGAGAGAGAGAGCGAGCAAGTTGGAGAGCGCAACATGTGGCAAAGGGTGAATTTATTTATTACACAATTTCCAAGTGCAATTTGATGTTTTTAATGTTGACTTGAAATGCCAAACAAATCAATTTATGAAAAATAAACAAGCCTTAGAAAGTTTTTCTAATTCTATTAAAATTGCCAATGAAAAGCAACAATAAAAATCAGATTTTTTGTAGGTCTAGTTTTAGTTTTGCAACAAGTTAGTGCAACAAGTTTAGTTCACAAAATAATACAAAATTATCGGCTTTCCAAGGAGAGGTTCAGGTCTAGGAGTAGAAATTACCCATTTGTCGAGCAGTGCCGTGCACACACAGCGCGTCAAGTGCTAACTAAATAACTCTCGCTGTTGAAAGCGGAGCTGACAACACAAAAAACGCTATCGAAGGCGAGAGTCCGAAAGCGATTCGGAGTCGAGTTGAGTCGGTTCGGGTTTGGTTTTGGTTTTGGTTGTGGTTGTGGTTGTTGTGGGTTCGCATGCAAATCGGCCAAAGGTTAAAATAACTTATAATATGTTAACAAAACCATTGACCTGCAATGTTGAACCCCTAAGCTAATTATCGGGGTGAGCGTCGGGTTCAAAGCCGGACACCATACACAGAAAATGACGACGCACCATAACAACAACAACAACAATGACAACAACAACAATGACAACAACATTTGGCACAGATACGGAAGCGGTTCGAATCGCAAATCTAAAATTAAGTCACTGTGCATTATTCATTCATACATAACATAATTCTAATTTGATACACACACTTTTATGTCAGGTTTTCATAAAGATATCTTTATGTTTTTAGGAAGAATTCAACTTAAACTGAGAATAAAAAACCGAAAAGATAAAAGAACGTTGTGCAGCCGTAATCATTTCCCAAAAAAAAAAAAACAAAAAATAATAATAATAATAATGAAAATATCAAATTAAATTTAGCCAGGCTGAATCATCAACGCTAAAGAAATTTGATAAAATTTCTTTCTTTTGCAGTAAGACAATAAATATTCGCAACCAATCCATGTTTATAATTATTATTTATATTTATATATAAACGAATAAAATATGTATATTTCAGGCTTTCAAAAAGCTGGCTGCTGTATAATTTTATTGCAAGTTCTGATATTGATTTGAAGTAAGATTTTTGTAGTCTTTGAACCCTCATTAATTGAGAAAGTTTTCGGGCAAAGTCGGATTAAGTTTCTCTTAAATTAGCATTGGCTAACCGATATGCCCTCTCTGTTGAAGTGTAAACACACGAATAAACACACACACACACACACACTCGTACACACACACACACACGCACACACACACACACTGACCGCAGTGGCATACATTGAACTTTATGGTGCGGTTGAAGCTTCCGTCGCGTCCAACGCATAAATTGTTTATTTACGTAGCACAAACATTTCTTTTCTATCCATCTCTCTCACACTCACTCTCTTCTACTCTCACACTCACTCTCTCTCTCTCTCTCTTTCACACACACTCTCTCTCTCTCTCTCTTTATCTCTTTGGACATATATAACAAAAATTTAATTGCAATTCAACTGACAAATATTAAAAAGGCAAATACGATTCCCAATGAGCCTCATAGCCAAAACATTGACCTTTTACATGTGATGGTGGGGCAAGCGGGGGGTCTCGACGGGTAACTAATACCCAGGTGTAAATTAGCACTAACATACACACACACACACACACACACACACACACATAAAAGCAGAGGCAGATTCCAGCACGGGCAGCATAAATAATTAAATGAAATATTTACAAGCGAAATTAACAGCAATTTGTAGCCGAGGATCGGCTAGATTCATTGGCCTGGCCATAAGCAACTGTAATCGTAGCCATGCCCAAGAGCCATGCCAAGAGCAATCGTGCATCTCTCCAGAGCCAAGTTGGGCAAGGGCGAACACACACTGGTCACCCCTGCGGATTGGGCGTGTATCATATTTCTGAGATTGCTGCTGCCACGCACAATCCAAAAATTATGTGTATAAATATTGTATGCAGTAAAACGATTAGGTTTTTTTTGTTTTTTTGCTTGCCTTATCATAAAATTGAGTTTATCATTTGTTAGCATTTATTTTCGCCTTAAGGAAATGTGTTCAAACAGTGACAAAAAGAAGAAGAAAAAACGAAAGTCTTTGAAAACACTTTTTAAAAGTCACATAAAAAAGAAATTTTCTTTAACTTTTGAAGTACCCAAAATCATCATAAGGTTTTAGATTATGGGATGTATTTGGTACTATTTTGCTTAAGTACTTTCTAAAATCAATTTAATAATAGACTAAGAACAAATACAAATAATAATAATATAATAAAATTATATATTATTCATAGAAATTTTGAAACACATAAGAAGAGAAATTAAATTTTATTTTAAGCATTTTTCATAGATAATTTTTTTTAGTCATTTCGACTAACTTTGTTTACTTTTAAGTGAGTGCGCGTGAACCCACTGTGCCAACATTTTGGGTGCTTTCAATCAAGCAATCGTCACCACCCCACCCCTACCCGCCGCTACTCCCCTAATCCCCCATACCCAACCCCGTTCGGTGACCAACATGACTAGTGGAGCTAGCTAGCTGGCTGGCTGGCTGGCTGACTGGCTGGCTGCTGATTGGCATCGCTTGGTGCCAATGGTGCTAAGTGCCGAATGCCGAATGCCGAATGTCGTCGGGGGCAAACAGTGGGCACTGCTGTGGTTGCGGCGGGGGTGGGTCGGGTTGGGGCAGAGGTAACGCAGAACGGAGAGAGAGACCGTAAATCGTAAACCGTAGACTTGGCATATAGAGACGGGCGTATAGAAGAAGAAGATTGTAAGAAAAAACGTAGAGCGACATGCGCCGCAGCAGAACTGTTGACTTTTCCAGTTGAGGCTTGTGCGGTTTTTGTTTCTTCTTATTTCTTCTTCTTTTTTTATCATACTAATCGCTTGCATGTGTGTGAGTGTTGCGTGTGTGCAGAGTGTGTGTGTGTGTGTGTGTGTGTGCAGAGTGTGTGATCCGCCGAGTGACAGGCGGCCGCATGTTGGGTCGACAAGTGTCAATAGTACTAATAGACGACGATGGCAACTACGAGCGGGGCTAGGCTTTGCTGGGGCTAGGCTCAGCTCAGCTCGGCTCGGCTCGGCTCAGTGCAGCGCAGCTCAGCGCAGCGCAGCTTGGGCCGTGTCTGGGCACGTTCTGTGTTTTTAACCGAGAGGTTCTAGAAAAACGAAAACACAACGGTAAAGTTCATTGCCATTTGGCTGCTTGACTGTTTGGGGCACGTCACGTTGCGCCCCACCACTCCCCGCTCTATGCGGCCCCCAGTCCTAACCTACAATTGGAACGTCACGTTGGCAAACACAGCTGCCGACCCACAGTCGATGTTTATTGTCGTCGTCGTCGTCGTCGTTGTTGTCGTTGTTGTCGTTGTCGTTGTTGTCACTATCGCTTGTCATGTGACCAATTTTGAAAATAGTCAAACCTACCTCGGGCCCTGGGCCAAGTACCACAGCAGTTCGTATCACTGCCGTAATTTGATTTCGACTTGATAAATAGTCCGATCTGAGCACAGCAGTTGCTTTAGCATTTTTTTTTTTTTTTTTTGATGGGTCGAATGAGACGAGAGCGTCTAGACTTGACGAGACCTTGGTCGACAAACTAAAAGAAATTTAAGAAACTCGACTGTAATTTGACTTTCAAACGCAGGCCACGGGTTCGAGTCGGGGCGTTAAAATAATGTATATAACACACACACACACACACACACACACGCAATTGGCTTATCAGCTTTTGACCTCATTTAAAAACCAAATAAAACACAACGCGCGAGAGCAAATAGCAGCAACCAAGTTTTATGCGAACTTTGAAACGCGTCACATTTGTAAATTCAACAAACGCCTTATCAACCCCACGAGCCGAAAGGGCTGCGACGGGGTGTTGGTTGCCAGTTTCAACTTTGAGCTAACAACAACAACAACAACAATACATATATATTTACATATGAAGAATAAAGTAATAAAGACACCCAAGAAAACAAATCTTGAGTGGGTGTTTTTCAGAGCTGTATATAGTTCTAGTTTATGATATGATAAAAATGTCATTTATATATATACGAGTATATAGCATAAATTTGAGCTTTATATTGTGATTTTGGTTTAATGAAAACAGATTTTAAGCAATCTTATCAAACTGGCATTGATTTACCATTGAACGCTGAACTTATTTCCATCAAGATCCATCAACATACAACTAAAGCTGTTTGTTTCAGTAACCCATTTTGCTGTTGTTCTATTCTTTTCCATCCATTTGATAGATAATCATTTATTGGGCTCTATCAGCAGCTGCATCTGGCTAAGTTTTTCATTATGCACACACACACACACACACACACACACACACACTTTGTTGCTGCTGTTCTTGTCTTTATTCTTAACGTGATTTCTTTTATTTGTATCTCAAGTGTTCGGTCGTTTGGTCGTTTTGGTCGTTATTCGGGCTCTTATCGCACGATGTTTGTCCAAGTGCCAAGTTGAACTATACGAGAACGTAAGTAGTCCATATATATATGTGTATATATATATATATATATATATATAAAGCTGCTTGCCTGCTCTTGTTACTTACTCTCTTTACTGTATTATTATTATTATTATTATTATTATTCTTGTTGTTGTTAATATATTTTCAGTGTGTTCTTAATTTTCGTTATGGTCGCATTTTTGTAAATCATGTCGCATTTATTAGATCATCAAGGTGTTAAAGATTGTATACCCATATACCATACAATGTGTGTGTGTGTGTGATGTGTGTGTGTGTGTGTGACGCGTTTCACTGATAATATTTGGTCTTTGTATGTTGCCCTCCTCAACTGTTGTTCTTCTCGTTGTTGCTGTTGCTGTTGGTGTTTGCTTTTGGACAAGTGCGA